CCGCATCCCCCCGCCCGGCCCCGGCCCGGCCAACGCCGCAGCACAGCGGATCGCCCGGACGAGGAAGCACCGACTCCGACGACGAGCCCGGAGGGAGCGGGGGCTGCACCCCGGGGCCCGCCCACAGGACGTCCCGGCTCTGGCTGCGCTCGGCCGCCGGCCCTGACCCACCTGCCGGGACCGCCCGCGAATCCCGAGTCCAAACGCGGAGCGCGACGGGCCACCCGCCCGCGAAAGCGCGCAGGCGGGGACAGGATGGGGCCAACGCAGCGTGCTGCACCTGGGGAGACGGCGCCCGCAGCCCGCAGCCAGGCTGGGGCTCCCCTCCTCAGCGCGGAGGCGGAAAGGGATCTCGGAGTCAGCACTGATGAGCGTGAGTCACCAACACCGGACCGCGGCCAGACAGGCCTCGTCCTGCGGCCGCAGATGCATCTCGAGCCGCTGCAGGGAGGTGATCCTCCCCCTCTATGCGGCACTGGCCAGGCCGCAGCTGGAGACTGCGTCCAGGTCTGGGCGCCGCACTGCAGGAGGGACGTGGACAGCACGGAGAGGGGCCAGAGGAGGCCACCCGCAGGGTCAGGGGGCAGCAGCGCAGGCCCTGCGAGGAGAGGCTGCAGGACCCGAAGCTGTTCAGCCTCGGCAAGAGGAGGCTGAGGGGGGACCTGGTGGATGTCTGCAAACTCCTCAGGGGAGAGCAACAGCCCTTTTCTCCCCAGCACCCCCTGGGTGACGAGGAGCAATGGTAATAAGCTGATGGAGAACAGGTTTAGGTTAGAGATCAGGCGGCAATATTGCACAGTTCGGGTGGCCACAAGCTGGAACCAGCTTCCCAGGGGGGTGGTCCTCGCCCCTGCCTTGGGCAAATGCAAGAGGAGGTTGGATGATCCCCTGTGTGGGGTCTTGTGAACCCAGCATTCATTCCTGCCTGGGGCAGGGGAGCAGGCGAGATGATCTGATCAGGTCCCTCCTGACCCTGGCTACTACTATGAAACTATGACCCGTCTAATATTGATTGATTGGCTGATGAATCGATGGATGTTGAGTCAATTGATACTGAAAAGCCAGCAGCAGAGGCAGGGGCTGACCCAGGGGGCTGCCCTGGCTCACTTGCACCCTGCTTTGCTTCCTGCTCCACCCAAAGTTTTCAATCAATTGCTTGGCCCTGGCAGCTGCATTTCCAGCCAGGTGCTGAGGGAGACACTTGATCTGAGTCTCATTATCATCTCCAGGACCCCTTCTAAGCTCGTTAACACGTGTTCATGACCCTCTCTTCTTTTTCGTGGTCTCCATGTTCCACAAACCAAGCTCACCTGGTCCTGCCACACTGCTGCCCCTTCGCTGCTCCTGGTCGTGAAGCTCCTGTTCCACAGCAGACTGTTTTTAACTCACTGCAATGACACTTGATTTCCATCTTAAATGGAAGAATCCCGCCCTGGGCTCCTAGCCTCTTAGTAATGCTTCTAGCTTATTTCTAACTGGAGAAAAGCGCGTGGTGTTGTACGGGGTGACGCAGCTCGCCATCGGCACTCTCCTTCGCAAGATCCTAGGTCTGCCTGTGGGCAAAGATGTGCCGTTTTCATCCCCCCCGGGAGCAGACAGGCTTGGCTTTACAAAGCAAGCCCAAGTGCAAGGGCCCGAGCCTGCGGAGCAGCTGAAGGGCTCGGCTCCGAGGGGAATCAGCAGAGCATTTATTTTACCCCGCTTTCCCCCCCCCCAAGGCCCACGTCCAAGTTTCAGCACCGCCAGCACTGTCAGGGGAACCGGCCCTGGGGCTCGCTGCGTCCATCCTCAGCACAGGCGGGTCTCACGTGTGTTGTTCCTAGAGCTCGTGGCTGGGGAAGCGGGATTTTTCACACGCGGAGCAGTGGCCCATCTCTGTAGCTCCTGGGTGGCAAGGGGACCGGCTTTCCCTGCAGCCCACGCTCAACTCTGTACATCAGCAACGATGCAAAATAGTCCAGGAAGGGCAAAGTCGGCTCTAGCCATCCCCCTCCACGCCAGGATCCAGTCTGCCCCGGCACACTATGGTAACACGCCTGAGGGGCTCTGCAGTCCAGCCGTGCACCCAGAGCTGAATTCAGCCCCCGGCGTATGCAAGCCTGAATGTTACACCAAGACACTCCTCATCTTGGAGATCACACCCCAAAGGCGGGCGGTCTCCTAGATCCAAGCGCACCCCACGGCAGGACCGTGCACGCATCCCTCCGTCGGCAGGAGCTGCTCCCAGGAAAGGGGCGCTCGGGCTCCAGCTCCCCAAAGGGCCCGGGGTGCCACGGTGTGTGCCAGGCCAAGCCAACGGATCGACTTCCTGCGTTTGTGCTTCCTGCAAACGGGGTAAAACAAGCAAATCTTGCCTTCACCTTTAATAGCCTACCGTGTTTTCCAGGGAGAGAGAAAAGAGATGGATTTAACCACTTGTGAGATTTATATCCCACCCTGCTCAGCAGGCTCAGAGCAGCTTGGATTTACTGATCTGTTATTTAGACGCGGGAGGACCTGAAAGCGTCCCTTTAGGGAAGCCTGAATCCTGCAGGGAGATGGTCATTCATGAGATGTAAATGGTCCGCACAGGGCTCATAACCCCCTCGGGAGCGCTCCCGAAGAGTCTGCCAGCGGTGAGCTCGGCCCCGCTCAGCCGGGACACCAGGACTAAGCACTCCATGTGCACCTCATAGTTTCCCTGCCTGGACTGGAAAATGGGTCCAGTGCCCACCTGAGGCTTGCTGCCTGTTCAGACTGGATGTCTGGGAGGTGTAGCGCAGACTCTGCCCACCTGCCCATCCCTACATCTCGGTGCCGGCCTCTGAATTAGCCATTGTGACCCGGGAAAGAGTGCCCGGAGTTGCTATGCGTTGTACTCGACACACTGGAGACCCATCGTTCTCAAGACAATGGCCCAACACACAAGGGCAAACAAAAAAACCCAGTAAAATGTTGGGTAGCATTAAGGAGGGGGTTGAAAACAAAACAGAAAACATCATTAGGGCAATGAAAATGGTTGGGGAGCTGGGGGACATGACTGGTGAGAAGCTGAGGAAACCGGGTTTATTTGGTCGGGAGAAGAGAAGACCAAGGAGGACTGAATAGCGATTCCAGTCCACGTGGCACTACAGCTCGGGCAGCCCCTCATTGCACTCGCTGCTCACCAGGGATCCTCAGCTTTTAATATCGCACCTGCAAAAAATCACTGCACTTGAACCAAACTGCCCCAAACTCCCCCAGAACCCGCAGGCCCAGGGGCCTGGCCAGCTCAGCCGCCAAGCAGGCAGGGCTCGGGCGCCAGCTTCACAGGTGTCTCCGTTGCTCTCCCCCTGCCAGCTTCAGCAGCTCATGGGACAGCTGCAAACCGGCCCCTGGTACTTCACAGCTGTTCCCTGCCCTGCGGCTGCTCAGGACAAGGATGAGCAGCACAGACAAGTCACATCCCCTGTTGCAGGAGGGGAAGGGAACAGAACTGAGCTTGGGCTTTGGAAGGGTTGCGGTCAGCGCTGGGGCATTTGCACAACCATTACTTGGCTATGGTTAGCCCTGGGGTGTTTGCACCATTACAAAGCTACAGTGAGCCCTGGGGTATTTGCACAACCATTACTAGACTACAGTCAGCCCTGGGGTGTTTGCACCATTGCAAAGCTACAGTGAGCCCTGGGGTATTTGCACAACCATTACTAGACTACAGTCAGCCCTGGGGTGTTTGCACCATTGCAAAGCTACAGTGAGCCCTGGGGTATTTGCACAACCATTACTAGACTACAGTCAGCCCTGGGGTGTTTGCACCATTGCAAAGCTACAGTGAGCCCTGGGGTATTTGCACAACCATTACTAGACTACAGTCAGCCCTGGGGTGTTTGCACCATTGCAAAGCTACAGTGAGCCCTGGGGTATTTGCACAACCATTACTAGACTACAGTCAGCCCTGGGGTGTTTGCACCATTGCAAAGCTACAGTGAGCCCTGGGGTATTTGCACAACCATTACTAGACTACAGTCAGCCCTGGGGTGTTTGCACCATTGCAAAGCTACAGTGAGCCCTGGGGTATCTGCACAACCATTACAAAACTACAGTCAGCCCTGGGGTGTTTGCACCATTACAAAGCTACGGCAAGCGCTGGAGTGTTTGCACAGCCATTACAAGACTACAGTCAGCACTGGGGGTGTTTGCACAACCATTAGAAGGAAGCAGTAAAGCTGAGCACCGGAGGGGCTCTGCTATCGTTAGCACAGCCTCCAACCCCTGACAAACAACCAGGAGGAGAAAGTCCTTTAAGAATTCAGCACCACCTGTTGCAACCCCGAGTGGGGCTGAGCACCCACACCTGCGCTGAGGCTGGAGGTCTCGGGCTTGCAGCTATGGATGCGCTTCTGCCCCAGCCTCAGGGGCCCAAAGAGAATGCACTGTAAGGCCAGAGACCCCCCGGGAAGGAGAAGCCTGTCCCGTTCAAAGGGGAGAGAGTTTCCTAGGAGTTAGGGTCAGGAGGGACCTCATCAGATCATCTCGCCTGCCCCCCGGGGGGACCCCCCTGCTCACGTCTCGCCAGGCTGAGCACAGCCCGTCCACCACCACTCTCTGGGTGCGCCCCGTCAGCCAATTTTTACCCATCCAACTGTGTAGGCATCAATGCCACAGTCGCTTAGTTTATTGACGAGGATGGGGTGAGAGACAGTGTCGAAGGCCTTCCTAAGGTCCAGAAAGACCACGTCCATGGCGACACTGTCATCCAGGGATTTAGTCACCTGGTCATAAAAGGCAACCAGGTTGGTCAGGCAGGACCTGCCGCTGATGAACCTGTGCTGGTTGCCCCTGAGCATGATCCCCCTGCTGCCCCCACAGATGTGATCCTTGATGATCCTCTCCAAGATCTTCCTGCGCACCCAGGTAAGGCTTACAGACCTATAGTTACCTGGGTCCTCCTTCCTCACTTTCTTGAAAATGGGGACCACATTAGCTGGTTTCCAATCCCCCAGCCCCTGGCCAGATGACCACGAATGCTCTGCGATGACCCCTGCCAGCTCCCGCAGCACCCTTGGGTGAAGGGCATCTGGACCTGCAGATTTAAAAATGTCCAGCCCTTCCAGAAGATCCCCAACTACATCTGCCCTGACCCAAGGCCTGACAGAGCTATCCCCGAGATTGTCCCTACCTCTTGTAGGAGGGATGTCTCAGTCCCTGTTCAAGAAAACAGAGGCAAAGAAACTGTTAAAAACATCAGCTCTCTCATCTGGCGTAGCCACAAGATGACCGTTTGCATCTTGCAGGGGCCCTACGTTGCCTGGTGCCCTCTTCTTGCTCCCCATGTACTTGAAAAAGGACTTTTTGTTGTCCTTAATCCTGGACGCTAGCCTGAGTCCATCCCCGCCTTGGCCTTCCTAATAGCCCTCCTACCCTCCCGGGCGAGGAGGAGTACTCCTGCTTGGTGACCGCTCCTCCCTCCCGCTGGCTGTGCGCCCCCCGTCAGTCCTCAGGCCTTGCTGAATGCCCTTGCTGAGCCGAGGGGGTTCCTCTTACCCCCCTTGCTTCCCTCAGGGACTGTCACCCTTTGGGCCTGGGGGATCGTCCCCTTAAGGTACGACCATCCCTCGTGGACTCCTGTCTCCTCTACGCTCTGGGCCCTCGGCGCCTCCCCCACTAGTCTCCTGAGCTCGTTGAAGTTGGCCCTTCTGAAGTCTAGGGCTTTAGCCTTGGTGTGAGGATAGTGCCCCACGTGGGATAGTGAAATCCAGCAGGTGAGGATCGCTATTGCCCAGGCGGTCAAGGGCCTGCAGTCCCCTCACCAGGTCATCCCCCGTGGCCTGGACCAGGTCCAGCAAGGCGTGACCCCAGTGGGGCCGTGCACCTCCTGGATGAGGTGAAGGTCCTGTAATACAGCCAGGAGCCTCCGTGAGCAGTCAGACCTGGCCATCTGACCCCCCAGCAAATGTCTGGGGAGTTTAGGTCACCCATGACAATAACAATGCAAAGGATCTTGGAGGGTTTAATGAAGCAGTGCAGCTGTGGAGGGGGTAAGGGACCCTGCCCTGAGCTTAAAGCCCATTCCCCCACAAGGTGCTTCCAGGACCCTGGGCAAGAAGTCCAAGCAATAACAGCCCAGACTGAGAGCAGCTGCAGGCGGCATGTTCAAACCTGAGCCCAGGCAGCTGGGAGTAGGAGCCGTGCTGCACGAAGGCGTCTCAACCCAAAAGCAGAAACTTCAGCTTCGTCCGGGCAGGCACGCCAGGGCGCTGGGCCAGGAAATGACACTGGCAGGAGGAACAAGATGAACAGGGCCATAAAAGTTTTGGACAGAACGCCATTCCTCCCTCAAGGAGGAGGCATTTCATGTCCGCAGGATGAGACAAGCACCAACAAGCCCCGGGCTGCAGCTCAGCAGCTTCATAGTTTGGCATTAGCTCAAGAGCTGCACTGCTGCGGTAAAGGCAGACCCCAGCTCCTGTGACAGACACCCAGAAATGACCCAACCTGGCTCCCTTTGCCCTGCACTGCCCAGTACCCCCTCATGCTGACCCCCTGGAGCATCCTCTCGGCAGTGCTCACAGTGCTTTACATGGACACCTGGATTCACCTGCGACCTCCCTGCGAGAGCACAGGAAGCGCTGGACCCGCAGAGCCCAAGTCATGAATCCCGCATGCCCACCACGACCCTACAAGACAGCTGCTTGTGCCTTTCTATACACCACGTTGCAGCCCTCAACTAGAGCTGCACGCTCCTCTCCATGCCCCCATGGCTCAGGCATCGCAGACCCCGTGCAGAGGGTGTGCTTCCCATCTTGGCACGAGCACAAAGGTGAAATCAGCTTCCAGTTGGGTGTGAAAGTGCAACAGCTATTCCAGATTTGCTCTGTGCTGACACGTCTCAGCTGGGGAACGCAGGGCTCAAGTGGCACCTGGTGGCCACTGCCATTCACTAGAGCCCTGCAAGGGCAGCCTGACTTCCAAAATCTGCACGTGGAGAGTGAAAGGGGTTAAAACCTGGCAGGAGCAAATCAAAATATGACCTTACATTCGCTACTTTAGGATCTCCTGCAGCCTGTCACTTCCTGTCCGAAACAGCATGAAAGCTTGCAGAAAAAGATTTTTTTCTTTTTTTACAATTTCTCAGTTGTTCTAATAAACGAGCTCTAGAGTTTTGCATTTCTAAACAGCATGCAGCTTTGTGGGCAACTCTTACACAGCTTCATCCCAGAGATGGCCGAATTTCAGAGGTGGGGACAGCAACTGGAGTGGGGAAGGGGGAATCTGAACAGCGCTGGGGGTCTCCGCTAGTAACAACCCTTCCGGGTGCTTGGGAGTTTCCAACACCCGGTTACATGGTCCGAGCGAGGGCAAGATGTCTTCCTTTGCTGTCAACCCAAAGACCCAAACAGCAGGATTTTGTCTGGTTCGCATTAGAACCAGGCCTGCACACTACACGTTTATTATATTTATATGTCTATGTATGTACACATTCAAGGGGGGCGGGAGTGCTCTTTGCACCAAGCCGTTGAGTGGGAAAACCCTCACAGCCAAGAACGACAGTAACAACATCACTCTTCCCATGGGCTCATGTCGGTGTCAATGGCCACGCAGTTGTAGGCTGCGTAACGCAGCTTCTCCTCGCAGATCTTGGCACTGCAAGAGATGAAGGGATAGCGTCACAGCAGATTTCACTGCTCCCTACAGCGGGGAAGCATCAGGTGGCACCGTAAGGGGAGCAGGTGCAATTTCCTACAAGCAGCAGAGGTGGAAACAGCCTCCAAGTCTCCCAGAGGCCAGCAAGAGAAAGGCACCTCCCTTGAGATCAGAGCCATCAAGCAGAGGGGCAGCATGACTTACGTAGCGTAATTTGGCAGGAAGAGGGTACTGGAGCAGGTGGAGGACTCCGGCAGCGCATCAGTTGACTCAGAGCTTGGGGGAAGAGAGGACAGGCTGGTCAGACCCAACAGGCTGCTCCAAACCCAGGGACGCGCTTCACAGAGGTGGGAGATCGAGGCCAAAACCGATTCCCAGTGGGGTGGAGGGACCTGTCCCCACACCCCAGGCCTCACTCACCCCAGCTTGTCCGGGTAGATGTAAATCCGAGCTGGGAGGCGGCTCCTGCCAGTAACAAACCTGAGGAAGCGGCTGCGATCCTCTGCGGGGAGAGAACTGGAGTGTCAGCTGCTTCCCAAATCCACCCTCTGGGGATAGCAAGGAGCTGATGCCCGAGCCCAGCTCCTTGCTTTCAACTGCACAGATCAGTCAGGCCTCCATGAGCCCCGCCATGTGCAGATTCAGGATCACACCCTCTGCAGACAGGGCAGCCGGGTTGCAAAGCTGGTGGTCGATCCCCATGGCCAAGGGACGGCTCTCCCAAGCTGGGCATCCCGATTCCCCTGAGGCAGAGAGGATTCCCAGCACAGCTACAGCTGGGTTCCCAGCGTGATCACAGCAAGGTGGAGACGGCACAGGACACTCACCATTGGTGAAGTTGTTGAGTGCTTCCCAGAAGTACTGGATCCTGGTGTCCGACGGCTCAAAATCCTCAAACCGGGCTGAAGGGAGAGAAAGAACTCGGTAGGAAGAGATCCCCCCTCGTATGTCATTATATTTAATGAGCACTCAGGGAGCGCATGACCGATGAGGAGAGGTTGAGGGAACTGGGCTGATTTAGCCTGGAGAAGAGAAGACCGAGGGGGATTGAATAGCAGCCTTCACCTCCCTGCAGGGGGGCTGCAAAGAGGATGGAGCTGGACTGGTCTCAGTGGGGGCACATGACAGGACAAGGAGCAATGGGCTCAAGCTGCAGCAAGAGAAGGTGAGGTTGGATATTGGGGAAAAACTCTCACAAGGAGGGTAGTAAAGCACTGGAGCAGGCTACCCAGAGAGGTGGCGAAGTCTCCATCCTTGGAGGTTTTTAAGACGCAACTGGATCAAGCCGTGTCTGGGATGATGTAGCTGGGGCTGGTCCTGCTTGGAGCAGGGGGTTGGACTGGATGCGACTCCTGAGCTCCCTTCCAGCCCTCATTTCTATGATCTTGGCTGGATCCTGGTTGGGGAAGGAGACGCACCCTAAATGCACCCAACAGCATTTAGATCAGGGGTGCTGGGATCACCCCCCCCTCGCACCTCACAAAGGTGAGCGGATCTGAGGTGCCCTCTCTCAACCCAAGCACAGAGACCGCAGCTCCTCACCAGTCCACGGCAGAGCTGGGACACGCGCTTTACCAAAGGCACATAGTGCCAGGGTCTCTCGCTCCTGCAGCAGCTGCAGGAGGGTCCCCCACAGACCCCAGCACGAAGCCTGTGGGGTCTGAGGCTCAGAAAGACAGGGCCACGCCGACCTACAGACTTACTGAGCTTCCTCAGGGCATCCACCGTGACCTCAGGGTCCCCGCAGACCTTTTTCTCCAGCTCCTGCCAGGTCAGGAGGTCAAGAACAGCCTGGGGCACCACCTTCAGCAACCCGGCCTGCATGGCTGCAATCTGGAGGGGAGATGGAGCAGGCCAGGTGGTCAGGAAGAGAAGGATGAGGCACCCCGTAGACATGCCCAGATGGGGTTTGAGTCCAGGCCAGCAGCTCAGGGGCAGGCAGCCCCACTTCCCACTAGTGAGATGGTGCCACAAGTGCTTCTACAAGAGGCCCAGCCCAGGCAGTACAGAGGTGAAGACTATGTCCACAAAGAGATGGGGGTGCCCGGTCCTCAGGCTGGCCCAAACCCCATCTTTCAGGGCTTGGCCAGATAAGGGATAGGAAGAGACATCCCTAGACCACCTGGTCCTACCTGACAAGCTGAGGCCCCCCCGAAGATGGCATTACCTGCTCCTTGCTCTCCTCCAGCCGGGCTTTCCGCACCAGACGGATGAATTCCTTGCGGTCCTCATACTTCACCACCGTGTTGCTGCCGTTGGGGATCAGCTCCACCACGCGCTGGTCGCTGAGGACTGTGGTGTAGGTCAGCTCGTTCCCAAACTTGAACTCGAAGGTGTCTTTGTCCATCATCTCCATCACTTCCAGGAGCTTCACCTGACCAGAGAGCTCTCAGACTTCACCACAGTAAAATGCAAGCCCCACCAACCCTTAAGATGATCTGGATTAGACCCAGGAAGATCAATGCACAGCCCATCTGCCTGCCAGAGGGGACGGCTACTGGGTTTTGAAGGGGCTGCACAGACCCAGCTGGAATATTGCAGGCTGGGACTTGCATTGCTACGGGCTGCACCCGTGTTAGCTGGAGGTGGAAATATAGACCTCGGCCTTTGTCTGTGTAGCATCAGCACAGGGAAGCCAAGCACATGCACCCCACTGCCTGCACCATGATCAATCCGGCTGCGAGGCCGGACTGCCCCTCGCTCTCCAACTGCCCTTCACCCCTACTCACCAGCACCGAATCCAGGGCAGGGAAGTCCTTGCCCCAGCTGATCTCCTCCCCCGTTAGCTGTTTCCATACGAAGCCCGGCAAAGCCAGGACCTGCAGAGAGGAGAACACACGTTGCCAGAACGGCAGGAGGAGACACGACCCTGGGGCACGGTGCTGATTTGCTAGCTCTGCATGTGCCCCTCCAAAAAACTGAGCTCAACATCAGTGAGTTGCAGGAAGACAGCACTAATGTCGATGGCTCAGGGTAGGACATCGCTTGGCAGACCGATTTGGATAATCCAGGAAGGGGCCATGGACCAGCCAGTTGGAAACTGGTAGGGAATGAGCCCTGATTCATCCAGGGCTATGCCACCGATGCGCAGGATATAAGACCCAAAACCTTCCCAGGCCCCTGCCCCACTGTCCTGGGGAATCCTGCCGAGCTTCCCCTGCAGCGAGCCCCCGAGCAAGGCTGGAGGCGACCGTCGCAGTTGTCGGGGGGGTGTCTCTCTCCTGCCAGGACTCACCAAAAACTCCTTGCCCCTCAGAGCAGCTCCCATGATCTGGCCGATCCACTCGTACTTGGCGAAGTCCTTGCAGGAGGGGTTTGGGACGTACATGTCCCTGGCTTCCCCGGTGCCGTTACCCTGCGACACAAAGACCCTGTCAGGGCCAGACTCACTGTTACAGCCCAGGGGAGGTGGGGACGGCCCCGTTGGCCTGGGCTCTTGGGATGACGTGGAACAGGGAGTGTTTGTCCCTCTCCAGCATCCTCCTCTGCCTGCCCCAACAACAGGAACCTGCACCCAGTGATCCCTTGGGGTACCCAAAACTCCCCCCAGGGCTTCTGTCCTGCCCACAACACTCCTCCCCATCTGAAAGATGAATAAGCCCCTCTTCCCCCTGCCCTCTTCTGCCCCAGGAGCGAGGCTGCCCCAGTTATGGCGACAGGCCCCACGACGCCCTGTGAACAGCCCAGCAGCACCTGGTTGGACGTGCGGACGAAGAAGGGCAGCGGCACGGGGCTGTCTGCCGAGCTGGGGCACAGCTCCTCCGACATGTCTGCCAGGCTGTCCCGAAACCCGCCGCCTGCAATGAGACAGACCCTGCATCAGGGCCACCCCCTCCCCAGGTGCCTGGGCAGACATGGAGCGCCAGCCAGACTCTGTCACAGGTCTCAAACCAGGGGGAAGGATAGCTGCCCAGCCCCAGAGCCACCATGGCAGGTGCGGGGGACAGCCCTGGCTCCGCCCTCGGCTGCGGGGCAGGAGCAAGGAGGTCTCTTACCTTGATCGATGATGCCCTCGGCAATGAATTTGCACTCCCACCACTGGTCGTAGCGCAGCGGCCACCTGCGGGAAGAGGGGACCGCCTGAGCTGCTGGCTCCGGATGCTCAGATCCAAACAGCAGCAGTCCGTGGCGGCGAGACCAGTGGAAAATGCCCCTCACGGCACACTCTCTCCATCAGATGGCCTTTATCCAGAAACGATGGCTCCGTCTCCCTGGCCCATCAGCTCCTGGGTCTCTCCACAGCAGGAGCTGGTGGCATGGGCCTGCTTACCGGGCATACAGCTCACGTGTGTCCCCCCTTTACATCCTTGCACCTCACTCCTCCCTGCACAGCAGGGTTTCACCCTTGGCCTCCCTATTTTTGGGGCGCAGGGTGCTACACATGGGCGGGAACCCCACAGAGCAGCGAGCGTGGTGCCGTATGCACCAACGGGGCGTACCTGTAATCCAGCGCCTTCTCGAATTTGTCAGAAGGTTTGAGGCCCTCGTACACCTACGACGAGCAGAAAGGCAGAGGACTTGGACATCTCCATGGGCCTCCTGCCGGCCCAAATGCAGGAGCAGGGCAGCGCTCCCAGCCCACTGCGGCACCGTGAGGCAAAGCGACGTGCCCAGGGGCACACGGGGAACTGCTAGTTCACGGCCCACCGCGGCAGAGCCAGGAAAGCACGGGGACGGGCCCCAGAGACACCGTCCCCCCCAGAGCACAGGGCAACAGAAGCACCCGCAGTGCTCCCTGCCCCTTATTTTACCCTCTGCTCCCCACCCTCCTTATAGCCCCCACCACTTCCCTCTCCCTACTTTGTCCCTCCACCCCCCGTCTCCCTCCTCCTGCCTCTTGGCTTCACACCTAGTGCATGCAGGCTCCTCACCGCTCCTTTCATCTGTCCCTCACTCCTCAGATCTGGTGACCAGTGTCTCCCTGTCCTAGTCTGCTATTCCCTGCCTAGGTTATCCTTTTTGACCCCCACACCCTACTCAGGACACATGGAGACCAAGACAGCTCTGCACAGAGCTCACACGCTGGCTAACACACCTCACAGCGGCACCCGAGAGTCTAACCTGGGAGTATTCGGGTGGCTGCTGAGCGGACAGGGCCAGCGCTGCAGAGACGTGGGCTTTTCACTGGAAAGCACCTGCCTTGCAGGCCACAGTGACCTCGGCTCGCAGCCCCTGCAATAAGAGCGGAGCCAACCAGCCAGCCCGCGATACCTGTGTGAAGACGGCGTTCTTGCAGCTGGGGTCCAGGGCGGGGTTGTCCCGGTGCTCCATGGCCAGGCGCCGGTTGATGTAGAGCCGCGGCATGAAGTTAGGTTTGCTGGTCTCTGAGTCCTTCAGGCACTGGGTGATGAGAGCCGTGCGCCGCTTGGACAGCAACAGGAACTGCTTGATGTGCTGTCGAGGGCCAGGCGGGGACGAGGTTAGGGAGACTGGAGCCCTGCCCCTCCCAGCGAAGCCCCACTCTGTCCAGTTGCCCAGCAGGATGCCGTCTGTCCCCACAAAAGACCCTCCCGAAACGACTGCAGCACACTGGACACCAGCCGTCCACCAGCACGAAGACACTTTCCCTCTGGTTTCAGGGAGACTCCCCAGAAACTCCTCCCTCCAAACAGCCCCCGAAAGCAGGTTTCATTCCCCAGAGCTTCAGGGTCTCGTATTCCCAGGACGATTCAGGCTCAAGCTAGGTCCAGGAACTGGGAACCTCATCCTCAAGGCGTTCTGCACTTACGCTGAGGCAGAGATGTACCTCAAAAGGCCAAGACATACCAGGTAGAGGTATACCTCAATGGGGTAAGAAAAGAAATGAGTGCAAGTGCCCAAAATATATGCGCACTCCAAGTTGGGGAGCAAACAGCACAAAAGTCTTTGAGCATGGCTGAGATTTAGAAAGTTTTGATTTAAAAAAAAAAAAAAAAAAATTGGTGTGTTCCACTGCCAAGACCCTCACCCTAAATCACAAGACAGAGCAAGCCAAAAACATACAACCACGCTGCCTGCACAGCTGAAGAAAAGCGGAAAGATGCTCTGGGCAGTTTGCTAACTGAAGATGTGGGAGATCAAGGGCGTGAAGTCCGAGCAGTTTCTACATTGCAAGCCAGCTGGGTTCCAACACGGGGGGCATAAGAAATAGTTTGAGCTCGTTTTCCAGTCGAGGGCTGCAGCCAGTGCCACCGACCACTCCTCCCAGGGCGAAAGCGGGATGGTCAACTTCCTTTCTAGTCTTTAAAGTCTTAACTGCACTTAGTCAGGTTGTCCCTCCAGCCCTTTTAAAAGGGCAATAAAACATTCAGTGCCAGCGTCCCAGGCCGGAGCTGCAGACACTAAAAGGACTCCACTCACCTTGAGCTTGCTGAAGGTGCCGACGGTGTGGTCCCAGGCTGGGACCAGGTGATGCAGGACACTGTCCAGGAGCTTGATGAACCTAAAACCCAAGAGTGACCAGCTGGGAACACTGGACAAGGCATGGCACCTGCAGAGACCTGCACTAGCTGGGGATCCCCTGGGCTGGGGGCCGTGAAGTGATGGGGCTGCCACCTCCACAGCCTTGTAGTGGGGAGATTCAGCCTGAGCACTGCGTGACCTTGTGAGTTTGCCTGGGCTGCACTACACACGCAGCCTGACCCTAATGCCGCATCGTGGGACAAGCAGCTGCCTTGGACGCAGCATTTTCTTCACAAGCCATAAAAACAGAGGTCTTGAGTATGCAATGGTGAAAGATCTGCCAGGCTTTAAATCAAGCAGAGGGGAATGAGTCCCACGCCCAGCTCACAGTCCAATCTGCCCCCCTCAAAGCCCTGCTGTGTCACACCAGCTGCTGCACGTGTCCAGGGGCTGAGTGGGTGCTGTGAGCACCCCAGGGACCAGCACTGCACATGAAGAGAAACTCCCCCCTGCCCTGTGCCCCCAGCTGGGGTCTGCATGCTACCTCTGAATGACCACAGCTCGCCGGTACAGCACGTCGGGGTCAGTCCCTTCCAGGCGGGGGTACCGCACCAGGTTGGCCAGCTGGAACATGTCGGCGCTGAGCCCCAGATCCCGCTGCCGGGAGGACTTGATCTTGATGCCCCGGAGGCGAACATCAATGCCATCATCTGCCAAGAAGGAGCAAGAAGGGTCCAGCTGACAGCCAGTGTGGGAGGGACAGTGACATGCAACACCGGGGCAGCCCAGCCACGACCATCACAGGTACAAGCCCCCGGAGGACCTGTCTAATCAACCCGCTCTAATCCCACTCAGGCCAGTGCGGCCCTGTACAAAGCACTGTAGTCTGCTGACTCCCAAGCAAAGGAGCTCACACTTGGCTCCTGAAGGCTATCCCCACCCCCCATCTAAGAGACACAGGGTAGGGGATAAGTGCAGACCCAGAAACAGAACAAGGCTGAGATCCAGCCTCATCGCTGCAGGGTGCGGAGCCTCTCGAACCGCAGCTCTGCAGCCATGAAGCATCTTTGTTCAGACAAAAGTAGAGGCAGAATGAGCGAGTTTGGTGGGGCCAGGGAAACAGGGCAGGGCTCTTCCAGCTCTGGTCCCAGTAGCCCCTCATGGCTGTCCAGTGGCCCGGGGGAGGAAGCTGGGCTAGCAGGAAGGCAGCCGCATCACGAGAACCGCCAGCGAGAAGTACGGAGCGAGCCCTAATGCCGCAGCGTGGGACAAGGAGCTGCCTTGGAAGCAGCATCTTCTCCACAACCAAATGGAGGTCCTGAGCATGCAATGCTCCCTGCACAGCGCAAATGCCAGGCATCTGCAGCCTCCTGCGGGAGACGCGGGGCACCTAGCAAGGCAGCGGGGGGTCTGCGGGCTGATCTCACTGCCATCCCCAGGGCACGGAAAGCAGGTCCACCTCTGCACTCCACGATCCGGATCTCAATGACAGGCAGGTGAGTCGTCATGTCCTCCAGCACGCACACGTCCCCGATGTAGCTCCTGCAAAGACAGCCCAGACGGCAATTCATAGTTTCTAAGGTCAGAAGGGACCTGAGCACATCTAGTCCAACCCCCTGCCATAGCAGGGAAGAGTCCTGGGGTCAAACGACCCCAGCAAGGTGTTCATCTAACCTCCTCTTAAAAACCCCCAGGGTAGGAGCCTGCACCACCTCTCTTGGAAGTTGGTTCCAGATCCTAGCCGCCCTGACCATGAAGTCGCGCCTTCTGATGTCTAGTCTGAATCTCCCCTCTGCCAGCTTGTGACCGTTATTCCTGGTCACTCTTGGCAGTGCTCGGGAGAACAGGGACTCCCCCAATGCCTGCCAATCCCCCGACTAGTTTATAACAGGCCACAAGTTCCCCCTCAGCCTTCTCTTTTGGAGGCTGAACAGGTTCAGGTCCCGTCGCCTCTCCTCATGGGGCCTGCCCTGCTGCCCCCTGATCATGCAAGCGGCCTCCTCTGGACCCTCTCCATGCTGTCCACATCCCTCCTGAAGTGCGGTGCCCAGAACTGGACGCAGTACTCCAGCTGCGGCCTGGCCAGTGCCGCATAAAGGGGGAGGATCACCTCCCTGGACCTGCTCAAGATGCATCTGTGCATGCATAACAAGGTACGGTTGGCCTTCCTAACTGTCTCCCCACACTGCCGGCCCATGTTCATCTTGGAGTCAATGATGACTTCTTGCAGAGGTTCATCTTGCAGAGGTGCTGGCTAAGAGGAAGGGAAATTTCTGACCAGGAAGGGGAGGGAGCTGGGGGTTAGAGCCTCTGGCTTCAGTCCCCACCCCACGGCTTGCTGCACAGCCCCAGCTGAGCCATCAGCTTCTCCAGGCTGCAGCTCCACAGGGTCCAGGAATGAGACTGGCAACTACAGGGGTGCAAAGGGCTCTGAGGTCCTTGCACGGAGGATCCCGTGGGAGAGAAGAGTGTGCTGTATTCACCCCTCCCCAGCACGTCAGGGCTCCACGCATGTGCTAATGGGCCAGCTCGCAGCAGACACAACCCCGACCCTGCCCATGCTGTCGTTCGAGCTGCGAGCAGCCCCCGTAGCCTAGTGCCCGGCCCACTCACTCATCAATGCCCACGTCGCTCAGCTTCTTCAGGTTGTCCCCCTCGCCACCGTACACAGCGATCCTCTTGGGCATGAAGTTCTCGTCTGTCGTATCCACCGTCAGCAGAAGCTTCCTGGAGAGGAGACCACGAAACAGCTCAGGTGCAAGGCAAAGAGGATGATAGCACACCCCTCCGACTCTGCTCACGTGTCCAGGATGTCACCGGCCTCGTCCGCACCCGAGGCCTGGCACACCCAGGGGCCCGGAGGGGGACAATCTGGGCATGCAGAGCTGGGCCGAGGGTGTCATGAATGGGATGTGCCCAAGTCCTTGAGAGAGTATTCTGGGGAGGGACAGGCTGAGGGGACCCTACAGGCCTTCCCCACAGCTTGGGACCCCTCAACAGTTTGGATGTAGGAAGGACAAAGCTCCCTGGGGATCCATGGACACCCAAGGCAGCTGCTGCAGCTCTGTGCCAGTGTGGGAATGAGCTGGGTCCTGGGCAGTTTCGTGGGACTGGCAGGGATGCAGACTGGTAGCTGGCAGAGCCAGGCCAGAGACTGCAACATGGCGCAGGCTGGTGGCAATGGCAAAGGCCCAAAGGACCCTACCTGGAGCCTCATCACCCACCTCTGCAGCAGCCCAGCATGCAGGGACACAGCAAGCCGGAGACTGGCTCCCCCCGACCCATCCTGACTCCAGGGGCAAACTTGCTGACAATGTGCCTGCGATCACTGCGCCAACCTTGCCCCGCAAACAAAGCTGCCCCCACCCGGGGCCCAGCGCTGGAGGGCAGCGAGGCAGGAGGTCTCACTTGACAATGGTGCCTTTCTTCATGTTGAGTCGCACCCAGTGCTGGCCCTGGGACCCGTCGCTCTCCCAGTAGGTGTCTGCGTGGCTGTCGGTCAGACATGACACATTGAAGTCTTCCTGGAGGGGGATGAGAGGAGCCAGGGTCAGGGAGAGGGACCTGCGCCCGTGCCCTCAAACCAGCTGGTCTGCATTTGCTGTTGCATTTGCTGCAACAGTCTATGCCACATTTGCTGCTCCTAGACCTGCGTAAGTGTGGCAGCTGGACCCCGCGGGGCCCTGAGCTCTCTCCTCTGGTGACTTCTCCCCCCCGTAGGGACCGTGGGACACCGCTTCCGGAGCTGAGCAGCACAGCAAGGGGAGAAAGAGACTGGGCAAGGCCCAACGAGCTGTGGGCCATGTGCCAATGGTCAGAGCATTGTTTGCCCCCACTGCATCGCTACACCAGAGCCGCTCCCCAGCCCCTGGCAAACCAGCCCCGCTGCCTACCGTGTACGAGGAGACGTCAATGCTGTCCACATACTGCTTGACACTGCCCAGGTTCTCGTCCTCTTTCCCAATGTGGTCGTACAAGAAATGCACCAAGTCCTCATCGCACTCATAGCTCCACGTCGGGGGCACAAACCTGCCAGCGCGTGAAGGGTCAGACCCTGGGGGGGGAGGGGCTCAGCTGCGCTCTACTCCTACCAGCACGTGCAGGGTTAATGGGACAGGAGCCGCAGGGCTGCCTGGGCCACCCCGGATCACTGCCCACATTGCCCGGGCCACGCTGGACCTCCCATCAATGCTGGGACGGCGGCAGGATGGACGCTTTTCCTGAGCTGTCAGCAGTGCCCTGATCCAGGCATCGTGCTCCCACCTCCCTGGTGGCAGCACCACCCCCAAAATCCTGGGTCCCGGCTCAGGGGCCCTTTACTGTGAACAACCTGCTTTGGCCTCCTGCTGTCAGGCAAATGTGCATGTTCCAAGAGGAGACAGAAAATGCTCCCCGCTCCCCCTTTACACAACAGAGCGTGCACAACAGGACACGCCGGTACCGGAGCTTCTCCACGGCAGCGTCGTCCTGCTCCAGGCTTCTGGGCCTCGCTCCGAGCCGCAGGGAATACGTCAGATCCACCACCTGCTCCCACCTGGAACGACCCGCGGAGGGATTAGGGGACTGCACTGGGGGGAAGCTCGCCCAGCAGCCTGGGGGTGGGGGTGGCACAGGAGACCCATACTGCAGCCTCCAGCATGCTACAGACTCCCTGCAAGGTCTTGGGCGAGTCCCTTCATCTCTCAGAGCCTCCCCTTGCTCACTCCCCAGGGAGGAAACTGCTCCTGAACCCAAGAGCAATGGGGCAGATGATTATCCTGACAACACCGAGAGCCTGGCCGTGCAAGGAGGGGGCATGATCACACAGCGCTTGACTATGGGAGGAACAAGACAAGAGGACCAGCCCCCCACAGCAGAAAGGCCGGGTCAGTGCTTAGCCAAGGCCAATTCTGCGCCCGGTGAGATCAGGCAAGGAAACACCACTTCTCCCATCTCTGCAGCGGTAGCTGACTATGCCAAACCCCGCTTTGATGGAAAGCTGGGCTCAAGCCAGAATCACTAGTGAAATGATGCTGTTAGCCTGCAGCGGAGCACTACCCCCCTACACACGCTACAGAGCCGCTAGGGTTAGGATTAGGGTTAGGGCTGACCCATGCTCAGGGGCAGAGTCCTTCCCCACCAAGCTGGTCTCGTCAGCAGGGATCCTCCTACCACGATCCCTGCGGTCCCAGTGGGATGTGGACCAGCTGCACAAAGGATGGGCAGCTCAAAGGAAGTGTTACAAGGCAGCAAAAGAGACTCCTCTCTGGGGCCGTGCTGCCCGCACCCAGCCCACTCTGCCTGGGACTGGCTGTCTGGACATGTGGGCTGATCACTGCCATCACACAATCACAATGGGACCCAATGTGCGTGCTCCAGCTGTTGGGATACACACAGGTAATGCTCAGTGACCGACGAACAGTGATCACCAGGGATCCTGGTTTTGTCTGATTTTAAAAAATCCCCAATTTTCTGGTTAAAAAAGTAACCCTAAATCTACATTTTTTCATGATTAAAATGATATGCCACTAACACGCACATGCAAACAGACCACACATCTATATCTATCCCTATATATATATCTATCCATCCCTATATATCTATATATATCTATATCTATCCTTGGCCTCTATACATATATATATCATCACCTGTATCCTTGGCAAGACCTTTGAGAAAATTGTTAAGGATCACATTTGTGGGGCACCAGTGGGTAAAATAATGCTATGGGGCAACCAGCATGGGATCATAGCAGACAGATCCTGCCCGACTAACCTGGTTTCATTTTATGACCAAGTCACAAAATGCTTGCCTGAAGGAAGAGAGGTAGATGTTATTTACTTAGATTTTAAACAGGCCTTTGACACCGCAGCACACTAATAAACTAAGCGGTTGCAATGTAGATTATTACACAGTCCGGTGGGTGGAAAATTGGCTTATGGGATGCACCCAGAGAGCGGTGGTGGACGGGTCCGTCTCTACCTGGAGAAATGTGGGCAGCGGAGTCCCCCGAGGCTCTGTCCTGGGGCTGGTGCTGTTCAATATCTTCATTAGTGACTTGCACGAGGGAGTAGAAAGCACCCTGTCCAAGTTTGCTGACGACACAAAACTATGGGGGCAGGTACATAAACTAGACAGCAGGGAGCAAATCCAGGCGGATTTGGACAGGCTGGGGCGTTGGGCAGAACAGAATAGGATGCAGTTTAACAAGGACAAGTGCAAGTGCTGCACCTGGGGAGGAAGAGTCATCATCACTCCGACAGCCAGGGAGGGACCAGTCTAAGGAGCACAACAGCGGAGAGGGATCTCGGAGTCGACTCCAAAATGAACACGAGTCACCAGTGCGATGAAGCAATAAGTAAAGCTAACCGCCCCCTTTCTTGCATAAGCAGGTGCATCATGAGCAGGTCCTGGGCGGTGATCCTCCCCCTCTATGCGGCACTGGTCAGGCCACAGCTGGAGTACTGCGTCCAGTTCTGGGCACCGCACTTCAGGAGGGATGTGGACAGCATGGAGAGGGGCCAGAGGAGGCCACTCGCGTGGTTAAAGGCTTACAGAAAAAACCCTATGTGGACCGACTGAGAGACCTGAATCTCTTCAGCCTCTGCAAGAGAAAGCTGAGGGATGATCTCGTGGCCGCCTACAAGCTCATCGGGGCACAGCAGGACATAGGGGATACAGTGTTTACCAGGGCGCCCATTGGGGGAACTAGAAACAACGGCCACAAACTGAGGGAGAGCAAATTCAGACTGGACATAAGGAAAAAAATTCTTTATGGTGAGGGTTGCCAAAATCTGGAAGGGGCTTCAAGGGAGGTGGGGCCGTCCCCTTCCTTGGAGGTCTTCAAGAGGAGACTGGACAAGCACCTGGCTGGAGTCATTTGACCCCAGCGCTCTTCCCTGCCCAGGACAGGGGGTCGGACTTGATGATCTAATAGGTCCTTTCCGACCCTAAAATCTATGAAATCTATTAAATGAAATACACACACGTCTACACGTTATTTACATGCACACACACATATAGTGGTGTTTCATTTTGATCGTGGATTTTGGGTTACCTTTTTTTAAACCTGAAAATTGGGGATTTTTTTTTAAATCAGAGAAAACCAGGATCCCTAGTGATTACACCCCCAGGTTAAGGCTCCTGTCTCCGAGTTCTCCAAGACAAGGGCTAACGGACCAACGTGCAGAATTAGGCTAGGCAGACAAGGTGCTTTGGGTAAATCGGATATCTTTTATTGCACCAATTCAAATAGTTGGAAACATTCTTCTTGTCAAGCTTTTGGGTATAAATAAGGGTAAAAAAGGGTATTTATACCTCAAAGAAGGTAACAAATAAAGAAGGGTATTTATACCCAAAAGCTTGCCAAGAAGAATTTTTCCAACTATTTGAGTTGGTGTAATAAAAGATATCAGATTTACCCAAAGAGCATTGTCTGCCCATGTCCTTGGACCAACACGGCTACAACCTCTACCCTGTAACACAGAATTGGGCCAGGGCACTGATTCTCACCCAGAGCCCGTGGCACCAGCACTGCAGGGTGCCTCGAGATCATTTCGAGGGTGCAACGCGGTGCCAGGAAACGCTAGCACTGGTAGGTGTTCAAACTGGATTCACCAGACAAACCCAGAGATCTCAAGCAGGAATTCATAGAGTTAAACCATTCTGAGCTCCCGGCTCTTCCTGAGGTCTTTGCAACAGAAAAAAGGCTCTATATTATTTTCCCGCAGTGAAAAAATGAATAAAAACAAAGCCGGCATTGTCCAAGCAGCGTCTGGGGCCAAACAAGGGGGGTCTCTGGTCTAAAAAGGCTGAGACCCCATGGGCTAGTAAGTCAGGCGCGTGTGTTTATGAGCTTGGACCAGTTCATGGTCCTCAAGGGGAGATCAGATCCCTCAAAACAGGCCGTTCCCAGGCTGTTAAATCTTCCTCAGATTGGCACCTTCTGAGAACAGCAGAGGAATGAGTTTGAAGAGGGTTGGCAGGTCCCAGGACAGACACCTCGCAAACGCTCCCCACTTTCTCCCTAGGGCAGTGCTTCACAAGGATAATGGGGGTGCCACCAGATCCTTTGGGGGTGCCCCGAGGTGTGAGGAGGTAAGCGCAGTCTCAATGCTGTGGCAGGTCATTTACCTTTCTAGTGGGGGGTGGGGGGGTCTGAACAGAACAACCTCGTTCGTGACTTCAGTATCTGAGGCCCCCGTACACGTTACATGTATTGCGCAATTCACGGGCAAATCGCGCAACACCTCGAGCCCGGCTGCAAGGGCAAAGTCATTGTCACGCAATCAACTGGTGAACTGTGCAATCAGTTCAGACCAGTAACACATGCAATGTCGTTACCACACCACAAAAACAATTCTCCAGCTATAAAAAGAGCAATCCACTATAAAGATAGCGCCTGAAAATAGCTAACGACTAAGGTTTTTTATAAACCCCCACAATATTTGGCTAAAAACAAAGTAACCTTAATTCCACATTTCCAGCCTTTAACAACTATGAAACACCACTATACAGTTTCATAGTTTCTAGGGTCAGAAGGGACCTGAGCAGATCATCAAGTCCGACCCCCTGCCATGGCAGGAAAGAGTACTGGGGTCAAACGACCCCAGCAAGGTGTTCATCCAACCTCCTCTTAAAAACCCCCAGGGTAGGAGCCTGCACCACTTCTCTTGGAAGTTGGTCCCAGATCCTAGCCGCCCTGACCGTGAAGTCGCACCTACTGATGTCTAACCTGAATCTCCCCTCTGCCAGCTTGTGACGGTTATTCCTGGTCACTCCTGGTCGTGCTCGGGGGAACAGGGACTCCCCCAGTGCCTGCTGGTCCCCCCTGACTAGTTTGTAACAGGCCACCAGGTCCCCCCTCAGCCTTCTCTTGTGGAGGCTGAACAGGTTCAGGTCCCGCCGCCTCTCCCCGTAGGGTCTGCCCTGCTGCCCGACCATGCGAGTGGCCTCCTCTGGACCCTCTCCATACTGTCCACTTCCCTCCTGAAGTGCGGTGCCCAGAACTGGACGCAGTACTCCAACTGTGGCCTGACCAGTGCCGCATAGAGGGGGAGGATCACCTCCCTGGACCTGCTCAAGATGCATCTGTGGATGCAGGACAAGGTGCGATTGGCTTTCCTGACTGCCTCCCCACACTGCCGGCCCATGTTCATCTTGGCATCAATGATGACTCCAAGATCCTTTTCTGCCTCTGCCCTGACGAGAAGGGAGTTCCCCAGCCTGTAGGTATGGTGCCGGTTGTTCCTCCCCAGGTGCAGCACCTTGCACTTGTTGGTGCTGAATCCCATCCTGTTCTCAACCACCCACCCCTGTAACCTGTCTAGGTCCGATTGCAGCCAATTCCTCCCTTCTAGTGTGCCCACATCCCCCCACATCTTAGTGCCATCAGCAAATTTGAACAGGGTGCTTTGCACCCCCTCATCCAAGTCACTGGTGAAGCTATTGAACAGTGTGGGCCCGAGGACCGAGCCCTGGGGGACCCCACTGCCCACATCCCTCCGGGTCGAACATGACCCGTTCACCACCACTCTCTGGGTGCGGCCCTCCAGCCCGTTGGCGACACATCTGACTGTGTGGGTGTCGACACCACAGCCCCCAGTTTCTTAATGAGAACGGGGTGAGAGACAGTGTCAAAAGCCTTCCGGAAGTCCAGGAAGACGATGTCCACTGCTACCCCTGCGTCTAAGGATTTGGTGATCTGATCATAAAAAGCCACCAGGTTGGTCTGACAGGACCTGCCACTGATGAACCCGTGTTGGTTGCCCCTAAGCCTGATCTCCCCCCCCGGCCCCTCGTGGACATGCGCCAGGATAACTCTCTCAAAAAGCTTACCCAGGATCAAGGTAAGACTCACTGATATACATATCGATATTATAGTTTTTTAAACTGAGAATTGGGGGTGTGGTTTTTTTAATATATATTTTTCTATATATTAGTGGTGTTTCATTTTTATCATGGAAAAATGTGGATTTGGGGTTACTTTTTTTAACAGAAAATTGGGGATTTTTTTTAATCAGAAAAAACCAGGATCCCTGGTCATGTCTCTGTAGCCAGCCTCCTCCCTACCTGATCACAGGCTTGTAGTCCACCCCGAAGAGCTGCTGCTGCCTCTGGATCCTGTCGGAGGACTCAACCGGGACCAGGCGGTCCCCTCCTTCCGCGTGCTTGCACACCAGGACCCAGCCCTCCTCCAGCTCGCAGCCAGTCTTGTACTCCTCCAGCTGCTCCTGCAGAAGAAAGCATGCGCTAGCAGTCCCCGGGACCGCCCCGAGGGGCAGAAGCAGCCAGGCCGGCGGGGTGCAGGGCCGTGCACGGCCCAGGGGAAGCCCGCTGGTGACATCAGGCCCATGAAGCGCCCTGTCTTCAGGAGCTATTGAGCAGCCAGTCCCCTCCGCTGCACCACGCAGGACAGAGACAACCCCCCACCCTGGGACTCCTGCATCCAGTCCAGACCCCCGGGGCGGATCCCGTGAAACAACCACTGGGCATCTCTGTGAGATGGGGCAGCCCGAGAGCTACTCCCCAGTCCTATGCCCACCTCCTGGATAACACTGCGCCTTACCCCTAACTTCGCCTTTGTCCCTGCCCTGGGCCGGGCTCCACGTCTGTCCCCTCGAGCCTCCAGCTACCAGGGACCGTCTCCCACGGGGCCATCAGTGGCTTCCAGGCTCCCCTGCACCTCGGCCCCACGCTCAGCCCATCCATGCCCCAGCAGTCGGGCTCTCGGTGAGCCTCCTGGGCACATCCCCTCCTGCAGACCCGAGGGGCCCCTCTCCCCATTGGGGAGCTGCCGGATTGGCCGTGGGCCCTGCTCCAAGCCTACGGGGACCTCCCAGGAGTCTGGGCTCTGCTGGTTGCCCCTGCCCCAATTTCCTGCAACGCGCGTCAGGAGGTTAAGCCTCCTTCGGAGGCGCTGGGTGCTGGCTACAGCCAAGGCCAGGGACTGCGACCGGGCTGTGCCAATGCTCCTGCTGGGACCAAAGCCAGCGGATCCTGGCGGAGCGCCTTGCCCCTCTGCTCAGGGTCAGCCCAACACCGTATCCAGGGTCAGGGGGGAATTTGACCCCATGGTCAGACTGGCATGGACGGGGGTAGGGGGCTGCTTGGGGGCTCCTGAGCATCTACTGATGTTTCCTAGGAGCAGGATGTTGGCTGCTGCGGTTCCCCTGCTTTCCCTGTGCCAGGTTCAGGTGCTAGGTCTGTGGTGTCGGGGCTGATGGTAGCTGTATGTCGAGTTTAGAGGAGAGATGTGACTGGGCTGGTTTGCACGGGGCTGATCCTGCCTCGGGCAGAGGTTGGACTAGATGTGACCTCCGCAGGCCCCTTCCAGCCCCACAGCTCTGGGATCCTCCATGACACGTATACAGACACAGCGGCTCGTGCAGCCCCTGCCAAGATCGATACAGATCTATACACAAGTAGAGACAGAGACATAGCTAGGTACACGGATGGATCTTGACCTGGATCTCTATATATAGATATACAGAGACAGATGCATATAGATCTTGCAGAGAGAGATCTGGAGCCAGATCTGGATCTCTAGATATGTAGGGACAGATGCAGAGATGGGGCTCGATCTCAGCTGGGATCAGAGTGTGGTGTTACAACACCGAGGTTACAAGTTTGATCCCCAGTTGGACTAGGTCTCTCAAGGTCCCTTCCAGCCTTACAATGATTTCTATGAGACATAGAGATAGATCCATAGATAGATCTTAATCTGGATCTTGATATAGTCTTACATGACTGGTGAGGAGAGGCAGAGGGAATTGGGCTGATAGAGTCTGGAGAAGAGAAGACCGAAGGGTCTTGTGGGGGAGGAGAGGGACACCTCTGGAATGGCAGGGTGATGAAGGGAAGTGGTGAGTCATGTATTGCTTTGCTTCCCCATTTGGTGCTAAGCTACTGCTTGTTTTTTTTGTTTTGTTTTTAATGTCTCCAGGATGAATATCTTTCTCTTGTGGCCCGTCTCATCATCCATTTTCGAGATATTCGTAAGTATGCCTTGCATGTCTTTGTT